ATGGTTGTATAATGTCGAGTGCATGCAATTTCACGAACTCATCGATTTCGCCGTTTGGATATCAGTAGCCTATTGATGTGTTGTAAGTTTTGAAACATTGAATGACATACTACTGAGCGGTTATTCGCAAGAAATGTCTTCCTGTGAGTATGTTCTTCGTAAGTTTATAAGCTGATATTTGTTGCTGTTCATACTTTCATTTATGCATTCATTCTTAGGGGTATGTGTGTGCTATTTGAGGTGGTTACTGGCCCTGCTCTAAGTAGGCCAATATTGAGAACAAAATCCACTGTTTCAGTAATACTAAACTAATATATAACGTTGGTTAGAGATAGCTCGCGAGTAAGTCCAGCGCATATGCTCATCAGGAATTGGACATAATTATATCGTTGGAGTGCAAACGATGTTGTCTCTGTAGGTTCAAAATAGCGGATCCCTAACTACTAAAAAACGGACTCCACAAAAACCTTTTCCGAAAAGCACAACAACAGAAAAATCCAGTTGTTTTAATTGTTATTGATAAGATTTGGTACTCAGTTTCACTCCCTGTGGTTTGTGTTTCAAAAAGTGTAACAGCTATACGTCCATATACATGCAGGGAGGCCTTTATCAGTCCAAAAACGAAAAAGGCAAGACGCAGTTCCATTACTTTCTGTGCCCCCTTGAAAAAATGTGTGCATCCCCAGGTGACACCCCCCCCCAATGTTTCACCCCTGTTACGCCCTGGGAAGGGAGCACCCTCTCCAAGCAGTCAGATTCAACCATCATCTAGTCCATTCGATGCAGTGAAATCAACAAAGAGTGCTGCGTCAACGAATCGTGGTACCAGTCAATTATGGCCATAATGAATGACGCGTGACTAGAGTACTGAAACTGCCAATGCCATGAAAATTCTTACCTCATAACATAATAGGAAAGTTGCTAAACTTAAAGGGACATTATGTCCTGGAATGCGCCCAATTGGGCTACAAAACTCGTTTTAAACGAAATGATATTAATTGGGAAGAGCTAGCGTCTAAAAGTAGGATATAGACATCCACACAACCATCCTTTAAAAAACTGGGCGTTTTTGTGTTCCTGCGTGCACGAATTTTGGGGGTCAAAATTTTCACTCTCAAAAATTGAGCTGTTGAGTGCTAGTCGTGAATCCTGAGGCACATGTTCAATCAGTGCATCGCATTTTGCGGACGTGCGAGAAACTATAATTGTTTATTGGTGCTGTGTATATGTAAATCTTTACCTCATAAGTCATGAATGCTCTTGTTTTCCCGATTGCCATGCACCTCTGGGTCTGATACATGGGCAGTTGGAAATGCAGACAGAAACAATTAATGCTTTCGAGATGTGGTGCTGTTGGAGAATGTTGAGAATATCATGGAAGGAGCGGGAAACAAATGCTAATGACAGTCAGAAAGATGATTGGGGCTGATTCTCAAGAAGAGGGGATATTCTGGAGAAGATTATTGTTCCATTGAGGGAAATGTTGTAGACAGTCGTTCACGTGGCAGACAGAAACTCTGCTGGGCCAAGCTGACAGGCGTGTCTCTGACCTCAGCTTACCGGTCAGCTTTGGACAAGCAGAGGTGGAACTCTATCATCCAAAGTGTCACAATGAGTCAGTCATGACTCTCAGGACTACGACGACGACGCATATGTGACACGCACACAACGTGTATTGAATGGACACGGCTGGAAATATGTATGCTTATGTCACAAAATGTCCGCAACTTCCGATGTAAACAACCGAGTGTTTTTTTTCTCGTCGTTTCTCGGGAACGGTGAGACATAAGCTTTCATTTCGAACCAGACTTTTGAAATGGGATAAGTAAATTAAACAATCCAAAACATTAATGTTCGGGGATTTCAGGCCGTAATGCCCCTTTAAATGGATCCTTTCGGATCAATAAAGGTTTTAAACGATAATAGTTATAAAGATCAAGACCATCAATTTAAATAGTAAAATATGACTAGTACACACAGCAATATATTAGGGGGAAAAGGAACCAAAAAGTTTGGTCATCAAAATCGAGTAATTTACGTGTTAGTCTTGATTCAATCACTCGTGCTACTTTTCGAAAATGTTCCTTATTGTGGGACCTGATTGCCCACAGTGAATTGTCACTCTCATTTGCATTTAATGTTGCGCCAGCGCCACTGATTTTGACAGCTTTGGCTCGTGTATTGCTGGAATACGTGTACAAGGCAGAAATTGCTGCCCCGTAAGATGTTAGCAAAGAGGGTGGTTCAACCATTCCTGTTAGTATACAAAATTACAAATAATGAAATAGTGCAATGGTGAGAATAATTTCATGAGGCGACGGACGGATGTTTCATTCCGCGATGCGGAACTCGAGTGGCGTGGGACATTCCATCTTCACCGAATGAAATTATTCTTCAATTGCACGAACGTGAAACATTCATTATTTGTTTTATACAACACCTGAATAAATCCTCGTTATCCCATTCAATGGTCAGAGCCATCAATAGTTTGACCGTGGAACTCCTACTTACCGTGGAATGGAACTTCTATTTTGCTGTGCGGCCAGGCTGTGGGTTGGGATGAATAATATTTCAATGACATATGGGATCAACGACTCACCGATCAGATGGCAGGGATTTATTCAGGAATTGTATAAAACACCATTAAGCATCATTATTTTGTTATGCACATATTTTGGCCTTATAAATCAATATAATAATTTGGGTTCGAAGTGTAAAGTCTGCCTTGTTTGTCATCATATCCTTGGGTATAGGAATTAATTATGGTTTGCCTACAAGCCGAGCGTTCCTTTACAAATACCCCAGGTAAGGGATTGCTGCGGCTTTTAATAGTCAAGTAACAAATATCACCATAAATCAATCGAGTTCCTGAGGTTTAACAGCCTTTTAACGTTCTCCAACGATAAGAACTCGATGACCTTTAGTCTCCTTCCAGGCTCGTAAATGATGGTATGTATATTTTAATAGAGTTTTTATGTGTCCATGACACATGCACGATGCCAAGGTAAAATTCCACAGATTGTTTGTCCGTGTTGAAGTACTTATAGTTCCACTGGGCAGCGTAGGTGCCTCGGCCTTGCTGAAGCTTATTTCCTCAACTTGCCGCTGTTAACAAACCCTGAAAAATGAGGGGGTTTGATCAGGATTTGGGTGAAAAGAAAACGAAATACAAGAAATGTAAAAACTCAAGAGAATGTCATTTCAGAATAGCAAAGAATGGGACATTTTTCGAGAAAAGTACTTCTCGTGGAGTATCAACAGGAGTAAACGTTCTTGGAACGGCTTGAAATATCATATCATTACTATAATTGATTCCATGCAGGTGGACAAAGCTGTGTCGTTGCCAGCTTGAAACTAAAAACGTAAATATGTGTGTAAATGTTCGCTTATAAAATATTGCCAAAATGTATTTTAAAAGTTTTCACCAATAATCGTTTCAAATATAGTCGGTGATTTTAAGACAGCTCCAAATCCAAGTCAATGTGTTGTAATGAAACGATGTCAACTCTTAGTTCTTATGCATATCGGTTGTTTTTTTAATTCAATGTGTTTTCTAAATCAATCAGTTGGGCACTTTACTCCCTGCACGTACGTTCACCCCTCAATGAGTGTAACACACTACTCTACATAGTACAGGTGTGATTGTGAATGTGGGGTCAACACCCGCCAATAGCTGCCCTAGGGTCTCCCCGGCCCAGCCACACGCTCCACCTCAATAACTCCAAGAAACAGCCAAAGAAAGCAGCCAAATACAAGTCTTGCCGCGGCGCGCGCTTCGCAGGGTTTGCACATGTGGAAAATCAGAAGCTTATTCTATAGAATTGGGGCATAAGATAAAGGACAAGAAAGCAGGATTGAGACTGTTAGTCAAGCGATGCTGGTACCTAGGGGACTCCCCAATACATCTGTACCGATAGGTCAACCGATATTCTGAAGAGGTCGTCTACCGTCTTAGGCTATGTTGCAAAGGGTTACATGCGGGCATTCACTAAGCTTTTTTTTCCTCCGTTCAAAATGAGCAGCTTGTTTTGTATATATTGCTAGTGAATTTGTTCATGACTTGACCGTTCAAAATGAATTGCAGATTAAGCCAGTACATTATGGTTCAGAACTTATTTCTACATTTTAAGATGAAACTCAACCATTTCCATAAAATGAAAGTATAAATGGTTAATTTGCGATCTTTTTGTAATATCGTTATTATGATTAGAATCGACTAAATCTACAGTAAAGACAGTGTCCTGTAATCAACACCCACGTGGAATAGAATTGGGGGGGGGGGATCCGATTCCTAATGGGTGATGTAGGCCAACGTATAATTTTATTTTTTTTTTTTATGTCAAGGTAAAGTTGGAATGAAATCGCTCTCCGAAATGAGTGAAACTTAGGAAAACAGATACATGATTGCACATTATGAGACACTATTTAGCTCAGTTGAATATAGCAAATTAAAAAAGATTTCTCTGGCGTAATTTGTGTAAAAAAAACCCTGCAATTCTCGTTAAGGAACTGTAAATATTTTCGGACGGAAGCAAAATGTCCATAACTTCCTATTTCTAGTTTAACGTTTGGGACAATATTATTAATTTTCACATAAAAGAAAACCACTGTTAAAAAACTGACATAATCCTGTTGGGGGTTCAATGTTACTTTTCGATGCTGTTTGCAGGGCCTGTTAAGCCGAAAACAGACGATTATTTGCATGACAGTACTAACATTATTTGCTACAAGTACAAATCATTTATATTTTGGAAGTGATCCGGATCTGGGTCTGTATCAAGGATTTTTAAAAAGGATTCTTCACCATTTATGCAAGTATTTCTTTTGGGTGTACTGGCAATATGGCGGGAGCCTTGGCGGAGGATTGCGCTCTCTGAGTGCTTTCTAGTTCATCATGCTATCCCAGCATCCTTTTCAACAATTACACACTCCAAGGGTTTCGACAAGTTCAGCAGTTTGATATACATGCATTGTAATGGACAGGAAAAGAAGCACCAGCGTTTAGCTAATCACACTGCATTTATTCTTGACTGTTATCATCACTTATTAATAATAATATACAAAAGATTTAAAAATCCATTTATCTATAAATTTACAGAAAAGGGTATTTGCAACTGACCTTTCGAAGATTTACTGTAACATGAAGGAGTTTCGTATTATCAGTTTACATGCATGGCAACTATTATTGCTGTCAACGTTATAAGTAAAAGTATCAATAGATTATATTCCCATCGAAGGAATTGTTCACTCAAGATACTCAAAGGGCGCTGAACCCCGAGTAAATAGTTAATAAGTGCCTTTCCTGTGGCCAAGGCTGGAATCGAACCTACCGGATTATCCAAGCCCTCTGAACACTTTTAATCAACAGCCCTCGAAAAACACCGGTGAAGTTCTGAAACATGATGTTTGACAACACATTACATGTAAATTGTGATACTTATCAAAACGGTATCTTCATTATGTTAACACTCAAAATTCGAAATTCAATCAATCAAGCCCTTGAAAACATCATTTGTTACAATTTTTAATTTAAGTGAAGTTTCCGCATAAAATGTACCAGCCTATGAAATTTGACTTTCTTAATCCATAAAGATTTTTTTTTTATCCACAGAAGGACTTATTCTTGGATGGAAATTGTTTTTGATTCGACATTATTTTCAGTGGGTTTTTTTTTTGAGAAGAAAGTAGGTTTTACTTGTCCCAACTTGCGCCTGACTTGTTTTCGCTCAGCAGTTGTTTTTATAAAAGAATATTCATATCAGGGCTTAATCCAAGAATGTTGACGATTCTTTGATAATATGGAGTAAATACAATCACTCCATATTATCAAAGATGGGAAACCATGTTTGATTATTGCGCAGAAAGAAAATGTCGCCTGCTTTAGCATCCTTTTTCAGCTCCCGAAAATGTCTACGTCAATATAAACTATTACAATCACATAAATATTTTACAAGCTTGCATTTACATTCTTTATAAAAAATATTATACCTGAATAAATGCGATCTACTATTTACAAAAAAATACTTTCAGTCTAAGCGCAAAAAAATGAAGGAAAAAAATTGGTCAATCAAAAACCTTATACCATAAACATTTATTATCCATGAAATTACATTTATTTTGAATAATGTATATTATTCATTATTGTCCATTTTAAGTGTCCACACTTGTGTGTGAACGGGTTATAAAATAAGAGTTATAAGTGTTGATTTAGCAAAGGGTGTTAGATAAATATTACGAGCATATATTGCAAAATCTGGATCACAATGTGATTCGTTTACATCGTGTAACATCGTGTAACATCGTGTTTCAGGTTATACACAACGTTATAGTCCGTATTCGTGTTAAACCTCTTCAAATCTATTCACACAACAATATCCGCTTTCGCCCAATACACTCATCGTATAATACAGTTTGTTCATATTGCTTTGTTTCTGTTTCGCAAATAAGTGTAAGATCTGCTTCTCTGGTTCAATATTACGTGGAACAATATAAAATCAGCAAGAATCATAATCACTTGCATGAATGACCATTCTGCGCAATTCCACAATATCTACACAACAGTCAAACCATCAATTATGGTGTCAGATACATAGTCACACATCGTTGCTTCTTCAACGGCTATCAATTTGAACTCTGAAGAAGTCAGGTGACCTCATCATGTCTGGCTGGGGCTCCGTGTTGGGGAGTTTCTCTCCAGGGGGTGTCTTCAGTGTAAAACGCTGCAAGATGCCCCCCAGGAACATGAACAGCTCCATCATAGCCAGATTCTTGCCAAGGCAAACCCGGCGACCGACGGAAAATGCCATGAAACTCGTGGGAGTGAAAACCTTTCCATCTTTGTCCAGGAATCGCTCTAGAAGGAAAATGAAAATATGTAGTCCAATAACCTGTTAGGAATCTCTTGTGGTAAAGATACAGTGGCAGTAATCAAACAGTCGCCATATGTTACAGATGGAGAAAAATCTTGAAATTTGAAGAAAAAAAATGATAGGACGACTTCGGGAAACAGGTGAAGTGAGATTTCAATACATGTAATGAATTTGAAACAAATAGTTGATGCCAAAGAGAGGTCATTCACCTCTCATCTACTGGGAACGACAATGATACATCCCATGTACAAGACAGTATCTATATGGCTTGACAACACAGGGAAATGATAGAAAGAAAGCAGAGAACGAGGTTTCTAATCTCAACAGAAAACACTGGTGCTGATATGCGATGCATAAAGCCACAGGCGCATGTAGTTCGCACACTGGATAAAACAAGGATTTAAATCCTATCGATCGGGGTAATTATATCACGTCAAGTGTCTGCAAATATCAAGACCTATAAATATCAATGACTTCTGTTTTCCCTATCCAAACTTAGACTCACCTGGCCGGAAGCTGAATGGCTCTTTCCAATACTTGGGATTATGATGAACCCACCACAGATTGCAGAAAACGGTTGTGTCCTTCGGTATGTCATATCCCTGCACTCTGTCATAAATAGATACATTGACAATCAGATAAGACAATGAGGTTGTAACCTTCATCGGAACTGTATGCTTAGCAATTTTCAAATGCATCCCTTGAAGGCGCCTGACTAAGAAGGCTTACATGAGCCACGCCCCCTTTATGTTCAATCTGTCCCTTCTAGCTCACGTCAGAAGGTTGAGTTAGTTTGACTACGACATTTGACTTTGATAGAAAGGCTGATCATGACTGACAAGACACACAAGGGTGCACACATTGGAGCAGGTGGACTTACTTGGTATCGCATCGGGTCCGTCTTGGGCCATTCATTGAGGAGAAGGAACTACGACGTAGTGTCTCCAACACTGTTGCCTCCAGGTACGGTAGCTCATAACGGTCATCCCACACAGGCAGTCGAGTTCCTATCTTGTCTGCTAATTCCTGTTGGATCTTATGTTGCACCTAATAATATGACCAAGGAAAACAAATTATATGGATTTCAAAAACAACCTTCAAAAAATATTTGAAAATTCCGTTTAAACATGAGTTTCAGATCCAGGAGAATATAGATCAGTGATGTAGTGCCTTGATACTGGGCCTTGGCCTTAAGGCTGCCTTAAGGCTGGATTTTAGGGCCTTGGCCTTGGCCTCGAGGCTTGAGGGCAAAAGCCTTGGCCTTGGCCTTGGCCTTGAGGGTTCAGGGCCTTGCAATTTTGAGTCAAGGCTCTTCAAGGCCCATACATTTTTGCATTTTCCAGATAAATCTGTTCGAAATTTTGCTGTTACCAATTTAATCGTATTACCATGGAGGAGGGAAGCACCCTATAGATTTGTGTGTTGGGCACACTTCCACTTTTTTAGCATCACATTTTGTTACCATTGTAGTAAATTTGCTGCAAAAATATTCCGTACACTTGTGGGGCTAATGAGATGATCACTTTAATTGCATATAACTATGGAATAGATCTGATTGGTTGTATATGTCTCCCTGATAAGTGCTAAAGATTTGCATGTATCTGTTTTAGATAATGCTGATATTTCTGACCATGTTGGGCCAGCAAATAAAAATTTCCCAAATCAGTTTCTTGGATCCCCTTTTGTTACACTTGGGGAGAATTGTGTGTCAATATAGAAGTAAATCATTATTTTGTTTAGTTAAACCATATTGAAGACCTGAACTTATACTTTAATAGATACAGTGCAGTCATAAAACGGTGTAGGCCTATGCGAGCATGTTGATTGCAATTAAAGAAATGTTGTTCTTCGTAACGAGCAATTCGTGATGATAAGGGCGGATCCAGGGGGCCAAAAGGGGCCATGCCCCCCCCCCCCCAAAAAAAACGAAGCCATTTTTTTTTATGTGACGTCGTAATAAAGGCAGGCAATGAGTACACCACCATCTTTTCCTCAAAAACATCGGTTAAAATGGTCAGAAATTGCCTCAAATCGCACCACAGAGCATCTCGAATCCAAAAATGTTTCGGGGCCCTTAACTTAAGCGAGACCCGAAGCCCAAACCGTAATTTTTTGACCCACTTTTTTTGGGGGGGGGTGGGGAGACCAAAATTTCTTTGCCCCCCCCCCCAAATTGTGTTCTGGATCCGCCCTTGCGAGATGATGTGTCACTCATGTGACTGTAATTAGTTCTATATCAGTGGTCATTTCATAAAACAGGGCCTTGGCCTTGGCCTTGGCCTTGAGGGTTAAGCCTTGGCCTTGGCCTCGAGGCTTGAGTGTCAAAGCCTTGGCCTTGGCCTTGGCCTTGAGGGTCAAAGCCTTGGCCTTGGCCTTGGCCTTGAGGGTCCAAGCCTTTGCTCCAACACTGATATAGATATGCAATGCACCACCAGATTAAAGGAGCTTTAGTTTCCCGTTGGAATGTTGAATGAGCTGATAGATATCATCTTGAGTCAATCGCTATGTCTTAAACAAGGTCACTCATAAGAGATTGTCATACAGCTTTTTGACATCAGACTGTATGCTATAAATCCAATGACAACCATGTGGCAGTACTAGCATTGATTGGATACCAGGGATGCTATCGTCAAAAGTAGATTAACGACCCCATCAGAATAAATAGTTCAGTGCATTCAACTTGAGTCTGTAAATGGTGCCAGTACTGCATGGGTACAGAATTGAAACCTTGGAGATAACGTTTACAATTTTTTGGAATGAAAGCTTACCTCTGGGTTGTTTAACACGTAGATTAATGACCACACCAGTGATTTGTACGTGGCTTCGTAGCCTCCAACAAAGAGCTCCCACATAGCCATGACAACGTGATCTTCGGTCAGCACGCCTCTGCCATCTTCTTCCTCGTTACTCTCCAGCATGGTTGCTATGAAGGCATCGGTCAGGTCCCGGATGTTATTGGGGTCAAACGTGCGGAAGTGCTCATCGTATTTCTTCTGCAGTATGGAGTCACGCGCCTGGATGATCTCTTGAACCATTCGCAGTTTCTTGCTTGGGAAGATCTACCAAGAAAGTTACCAAAAATGACATTCAGATGACAACTTGAATCCATATTTGAAATGCCAACATTTAGACATGCCAACAAATAAACAGAACTTTTGACAACCTTTACAAAACAGTCCAACCTAAACTCCGAGTTTATTTTCCTGAAATGTTACTATAGTTAAGAGAAACGCCATGATGAAAAAAACTCGAGAATTGTACGTTTCCTACAAGACACCTACTGTCAAAACACTTATTACGATCATAATTTCCTGTCGCGATATTTCTTTTGATTTCACATCAATTCCATCGGTTATTTATCCTTTCTGGTAAAAAAACCAAAGTTTTGTGTATAAGGTTATTATTAACTGTGTATTACACAATAAGTGTCAAAAAAGTACAAATTAAACCAGAACCAATTTTCGTAATTTATTTGCATAAAGTTAAGGAAGGTCAAAATCGTAAAAAAAAATTCTATAAATGTTGTTGGCCACATCGTAAATTTATTTAAAAAAAATTTGTTCAAAGTTTTATAAATAAGAAAAACATTGCATTTTCCATGACCCAACGTTACGATACTGTATTTTGGAAAATGTAATTACTTCAAAACAACTAAGATCACAGTCGTAATGTCCTTAGACATTACCTTTGAGTTTAAAACGTTAAGATCGTCAATCAGCATATACATTAACAAACCTAGTAAGTTATCGCCATTATTTGTGAATCAGGCTACAGTTTCAGTGTACATGAGACTTTTCTCTTTTGACAAGGGTACATTCCTATGTTCCCCAATACCTATGTTCCTCAATACTATATGTTCCCCAAACCCTAACCCTAACCCTAAGTATTTGTTGGGGAACACTTGAGAAACATCGGGTAGACCCCGTTTTACATCAGGAAAATTTGACATGTCAAGAGCTCCATGGTTTGTCCTACACAAGCAATGCACGAGTTACTTGCAATGCCCTCCTTCAACCTCTAGTCCTGTAAGGAGATTAGCCCCACTTGCACTTTACACAATCACAAAAACAGCCTGCCATCCTCTATGGCTTTGCCTGCGATCATGCTTTAAGCCCTTATTGTTGTTATGTGGGTCGAGGTTAATCCTAAATGTTCCTTTTGATGGCATGGTTATTCTTTACTGTAGCGACTTCAGATTGGAGCCATCATTTAGATGAATGGACTCCATGTCGTTGAACTTAGTCTTGACGCATCCAAAATAGAAATAGAAGACATTAAGGGAAGAAACTGCTACTGTAACCTCAACAATTGGCAAAATTGTGCGATTTGTGAGGTTCAAAGACAATTTGTAAGGGATCACTGGCATAGAAATGACGGCCTCAATGGAGGGATATGAATCGTAAATATGGCTCATCCTTCTTCAATAAAAATACAAATAAAAATACCAAAACCAAAAATCCAACAAGTTACACGAGCACAACGGAGATTAGGAACAAATTATACGTATGTAGAACTAATTATGGGTTTAATTTTATAGTCTCGCTCTAATGTACAACAAACTTTTGATTCGTGGTTTTGTAAACCAAAATTTTGGAACGGAATTTTGTTTTTGAGTGGTTCGCAGAATTTATATCACATGATATAGCATGGTGATTTCATTTCTTTTATAAAATCAATGGTACTTTTACTTGCATTTACAAACGACTGATAACATGACCAGTTTTTTTCATTTATAGTTGTGTTACTTGCGCCGTGTTCCCACGGTAAATAAACGCAATTGAGTGGAATTTTACCAAAAACACCTGAGCAAAGATGACTGAATGAATGCCACCGTTTGACTCACCTACAAAACAAACCTAGCCATGAAAACCCTGAATTACGTCTACTCGTATTGGCCATGACTTGGAAGGCATGGCAGGCAAGCTGTAAGTGCAAAGCTATCAGAATAGCCGACTATCTCCAGTCGACAAGTTGACCTACACACTCGTCTGCAAACCAGCTTTTGAGAAATCAAGTGTGTGACCGGTTTTGAAGAGATTTTGGTGTTATAGTCAATATTGGCCATGGAGAGTCAAGGGTAAAGTTCAAGGAGGTTCGTTTTTCTCGGTGTGTACAAACCCAATCAAGGGACATGTAGTCGTTGGAGATAATGTACTTGTCTGAATGTAAAGCCTAGTTAAGAGTTCCCTGTATAAAGGGGAGGGCTGGGGCTTACCTAACAGCATGGTCGTAAATGTCATCATATCAGTCAAGAAAAAAAATCACAACGAGTAAACTTTGTTGGTAAAGAATGGCAATAAAAATAAAAATGCCCTTAAAGTCTAAAATTTGAAACGACCGGCAAATGTATTCGTGCATGTATTGCTGAATTGTGGATTGATCTTTAGGCTATAGCCTGACAGGTTAATTATCCAGAATAAATTGAAAATCATATCATTTCAAATTTTTCAATGCAGTTCATCACACCTTATGAATTCCAAATTACAACGGCAAACGTTCCCAAACTTTGTCGTGTGCAAAATATAGGAAGGCTGTTCTTAACACAATTTGCATTGTTGGCCGTCAATACACAGGTGATGAAGTGAGATGCACTGCACTTTTAATATTGTCAGGTTTTGAGTGCCATGAAGTATGGTGTATTGTCCGACTCTGTGAAGCGACTGTGTTGCAGAGTGCCTTTTATGGGCATCTATTGTGCTATTGATACAAGCATGACACTACACATCGTTTTTCACACACACACACTGAACAATCACACCTGTCATCTGCTCTGTATCCTTTGACATATTACTGCATATAATAGTAGCATAGGGTCTTTCCAATTGTATTGTTGACCTATTCGGTGAGTGATAGTCTATTCACTCCCTGAATTCAAGTCAAATTCAAAGGACAAAATTTACGGCATGTATTACAAGCTTTGAATACTTTCATTAGAAACTAGAAAGTGTGTTCTCGTTTATCTCTTGCTGGGATTGACAAGAACCAAATTTTTATTTGAATTGTATTATTAAATCGCACAAAAGAGTCTTTCGACGTTGAACGGATTCAGATGCAATGGCATCTTCATGGGATGTAATCCCGAAAATCTAGATATTTTAGACTTTTCTGGTCAAGCATCCTGACTATGATCAAACAAATGAAATAAGAAAGTCAATAAGATAAGATATTTACCTTGAGCGCAGGGATGATGTCGATGGGATCTCCGGGCTCTAAGACTGCAGCAAACTTCTCGTTGCTATCCAGCATCTGTTGATAGTCAGTGTCCGTGATTTCATACCGCTGTCTGAATGTCATGTCACATATCACATTCAGGACAGTCAGATTCAACTCGACGCTAATGTCAGTGTACATGCCGTCTTTCTTAGACAGTAACTTATTCAGATGTACCACTTCTTCTTCAATCCTAGCGGAGCACGGCATGCAGTTGTCGCCCTTCACGCTCCTGCGGATCGCAAGTGCTGCCGTGCGTCGGTGCATGCGCCAAGACGGACTGTAGTCGCTGAAAGCTATGCCACAGTTATTGCGAGTCAGTAGGCTGACTGAATACACGTAGGGTCGACCCGAGAAATCTTCAGAACGACGCAAAAAGGCCTCCCGTATGACATCTACCTCAGACAGGACAACAAAGCGACCCATCGGTAGCTTGAGCGAGAAAATGCTTCCATACTTATCAGCCAGATCTTTGAGGACTTTGTAGATTGGCCGGTTGCTCATGAAGACATTGAAATTGCCAAGAAGAGGGATAGATGGCGGTCCAGGGGGTAGCTTGAGATGCCTCCTTGCTCTCCAGTTCATGAAGTTGTAAGCAGCAAGGAGAACAACCAAAAACACGAGGAGATCAACCAGCACCATGTCTGCTATTTGACAGAACTGGTTTCTATGTGAAACACGGAATTTGTGCTAGTCTGTTAGCGTTGCAATATGCGTGTCGGTTGATACAAATCAACCTCGGGGCCACTCGTCAAATACGGCTGATCCGAAGCTGGCGATAATGTTGAGCTACGCGGTAGGTAGAGTGCACTTTGAGATGTCTGCTGCTGGCAAATTTGACGACTACCCAAATTAATCTTGGCGATATTTAACAAAAATACGACTACCCTCTAACTGAGAATTTGTTGCTGATTTTGACAAAACAGTTTCTGTTAATTCCGAAAATTTCAGCAGTTTTTATACCGGCGGAGACCTCTCACTTGCGATGCTAACGTAGATCCCAGTTGTATGCTGTTATTATCAATCTGACTGTCTTTGCTGCCTCGCACATGATTGGCTCATGAGTAGTCCATTGGAACAATCGCTTATGCAAACCAGCTACAAAGACGACCAATCAGAGCACAGCTAACGCACCTGAGGTGGGTCAGTGCGCAAAACCTTTCTTGTGTCGGTAGTGACTCGTAGGATCACTGCGTTGAATATGACCGTGTACACACACGCACATGTGCCGCGGTATAGTTGCGGCAGGCAGGTAAGTACGTGGCCTTCATCTCGTCTCACAAACCGTGCAAACACCAAATAAAGTACACTCACCCCAAACTGTACTATTGCTAACTGTACCCATCGCGTACCCCAAACTGTACTATTGCCCACCATACTGGCACCGTACGTACTATAGATGCTCGGTCAATAAGGTAACACTATTTAAGTACCTGTGGCACCCCGTCAGGCCTAAAGAGACGAGTACTTTTTACCTTTCTATCCCCGCCTTCGTCCTTTTCTTCTGTTATACATAGAAATAAAACCTCAAACGACCACTTGTTGAGAGTATTGTGAACTATACAAATGAACTTTTGCTTCAAGATTTGAGTCATCACAGCCTCGGAAGATTTAATATTCTACAGGGCATTTCACTGACAGAGTAATAGCGATGATTTATTTCTTTGTTTCCGAAACTCTTATGGTATGGTTTCTCAGTATGCAGGTGTGGTTTGACAACACTTTCCATTCTCACTAAACGAAGCAAATTGCGTTATCATGAAACAATCACTGGCCTGTACATTATTTTTCTGAAGGCCTACTTCAAAAACAATACTCTGTTCTGTATAAAGTATGAAAGAGCACTTCATTTTGAGATGTGTTGCTAATCTTCCAAACTACATACAGCAGACACTGGCCTTTTTATGCTGTTACCCAGTTACTGTTCCATTGAATCTTGCCACAAGAATGGAATTCAGACGGTTATAGCAAGGACCCCGTGTTTCTCCAAGGAGAGACAGGAAATCTGGCCTAGGTCCCCGGAGCACGCTTTAAGGAGCTGTTGCCCGCCAATTAAAATCACATCCAGACCTCTCTGCAATGACTTCAAAGTACAGCTACATTCCCTCTGTAATCAGTTGACCTACAAGGCGGTGCAGGTTCAAACTGCCACGCGAGTCCATAATCATTTGGTTAATTAACTGAGCTAAGTTAGACATGTCTGACTTCTGGTCAGGGTTCTAGTAATAAACCAGGCTGGCTGTCTGCGTCGTAATTTGTGGCTACAACTTGGCGAGATCACCTTCAAAGATCTGCCCGGAGTTTTTGGGCGTGTTCTTCATCACCATGGCTTATGAGTAATAACACTTCTTATGTCACCACTCTTTGAGTTGCTGTCAGGTATAAAATAACAGCAGACACAAGTTCATTAGAGTCTGGAGAAAAAAAAATGTCAAATTTCAAATGACATCATTAAAGGAACAAACTGACTTAATGCTCATCTAGATTTTGGGACACAATCTCGAGAGCAAAAAAGTTATGTCAAATTATTTCAGTTTGGCTCGCATGGGGGCGGCATAACGTACAGATATTAGATTGTGTTGAAGTAACTTCGAGAAAGAACACAAACTACCAATGCACTTCAACAATAGTCCTGCTTGATGGATTTTTGTGGTTCATATCATTCTAAGTTTTCTTATTCTTCCCTTTCTTGTTTTTGTGTGTGACATTTCTCCAGTAATTACAAATACTTGAAAGATATCGTTGGGGTCTTATCTCGTTTCCTCTACCTTTCTCTCTTTCCTCCTCCACTTCTCTTATCAATTTCCTCATTCCATTAATTCTGTATGACCTTGCATTTCTGAAGAAGAAAGATATATCCTTACAAGAAAATAAAAGCCCCCGCAGAAATAACGATTCTTATTTAGACACACCTTTTGTTATGGCGACTGAAGAAGGGGGCCAATAACACGCAAAAAGTACAAGGTGTACATGAACGGACATGACACACGCGCCCACTGCGGGCACACAGACTTCTGAAACCTCACGGGGAACTGGAGGAAACAACGTTTTAGGGCGTGCACCAGGAGGCCTGAACCGAAATTACGAAACTGTTCCAACTCCCTGCCTATAGTACAGCAACCGAGGTGGGTGTTAAAGAAACTGAGTTGGTCCTTGGACAGTGGATTGGCGAACGTGCAGCTTCATTTACAGTATACAGAAACAAACACGGTACAAAATACATAAATAAACAATGTCAACAAACGAACGAGGTCGAACGCTTCAGGCATGTTATGCTCAGAAACCCAACCAACTATTAAATGTTGGTACCGTACCGCACGCAACACAATCGATTATACAGTCTAGTGATATTTATACCTCAAAATGGATGATACTGCTATTACTTCCTAGATCAATAAAGTCGGTGGTAGAGTTACTCACGTGAATTAACAGATGCACACCCATTTACTTCCCGCATTTCTAATTCTTCTAGACAATCAACTTAAATCGTCAGTTCTCTGAAATATCACTAAAAGAAGACAGGTCCCCTTCAGAACACTACATCACAGTTTCAAACAAATATGTCAGGTTGGCTGGGCAGTTCCGCACAGTAATATATAGAACGTGCTATAGACGCAATTTTTTAGCGCACCATGCATCGTTGTATCACCTTGCTTATATGCTTACTGCCCCAATGCCATGGTATAATCAGGCGCGGTTCTAGAACCAATATTGGGGGGGGGGGGGGGGGGCTAGCACGGTGGATCCAGAATTTTTTCAGGGAGGCGTGCTGAAATGTTGACCGGTTATTTTTTCCAGACACTTAGGCCTCCGAAAATCAATAGGTGTAGGGGGGGGGGGGGCATGCCATATTTTTAATGGGGAGCGCCAATAAAATCCTAAAATCATTCACACTATATTAACTAATGCACCCTTGTCACGGCTATTTCTTCTTTAAGGGGGAGACCGTTCGCATGTACATCACAATCCTTCTTTTTGCTAATGCAATTTTTTTTTACGGAATTTATTTTGGGGGGCTAGACAAAATTTTGGGGGGCTACAGCCCCCCCCCTAGCCCCCCCCCCCCCCCCCCCCCCGTAGAACCGCGCCTGGGTATAATGTGGTTATAGTGGCACTCGCAGATCGTTGATCTTCTTAGATTGTCAATTTGAGTTTTACACAATAGGTCTACAGAGATGGCTGTATAAAACCCGAGGCCACATTGTCCCCGATCTGAGTCTATATCTGTACAGTCCTTTTCCGGGTCAAAAATGACACTTTTCTGGATCAAAATGATAATAGAAAAATGTCATTTTTGACCCGGAAAAGTGTCATTTTGACCAGAGAAGTGCCATTTTTGACGTTTTTAGAGTATAGCGTGGAGTAAGTAAAATACTGGACGCGGGAAAACCAAAAAAACTTGTTAAAAAGCTTTAGATACAGTTAAACTGTCTTTTTCAGAAATATTATGTACACCATGTCATTCGTGGAATTGCTTTGAGTAGTTTAAATGTTTTTGTCTTGTAATAGGAAGCAATCTGTTTGCTTTAAATCCGAAACCGCTGTTGATTAACATGTTTCACGAGAACTTTCGAGAATCTCAAATTTTGGGAAATGAATGTTTAAACATTATGATTTACATGTTGTTTCTTCATGATGTCATATTTTGATGTTCAGTCCTATCCAACCAGAGGTTCTTCAAAAAGTAACTAATAATTGAATCTTTGGTTTCTAAGATGTAGGTCTACCTTAAACATCATGTTCTTGCATAATGTTGTTGGTATGCCGCACACATTTACAGAAAAATTCAAACTCAACCTGATAAATGATGCTACCTGTGTTATTTAATTGCGTTTGGTCTGATCTGCTGTTATTAATGGTCATTTGTTTTGTTCAAAATTTTATCATTACCATTTTTTCTTATACATGTTTAGCTTGGGGCGCATGGGCGTGGGAGGGGGAGGCATGAGGCGTGGCGGGGGCTATTGGCTTCTTCTTTCCGTGATGCTGGGCATCATGTAATCATTTTCAAATAAGAGACACCCTAATTAAATAACATATTAAAATGTAAGGAAATGGGATTATTTGTCAGGATACAGCTGAGAAAAATGTTTTCTAGACTGGATTGCTGCCAAAATAAAGTGAGAGAATTTTTTTTCAAGATAGCCAAGATATTTGCCATGGCGAGGGCCATTACTATTTTAAGACATGCCTTGTTAAAGGCATTTGCTTTTGCAAACGCTGTATTCCATATTCAAGGATAAATGCAGTGAGGTTTATGTGTACTATATGGCGTGACATATCCTTACTGTGAAGGTCTTTTGTTGTTCATTCGTCAGTCCATCGACACCACGCCCTCCAAAACAACTTCAGCAGGCCCCACTTGGAAGTTCGCTCATCCCTGGCACAACAGGGAATTTCTTTGACGTCTCGTCCAAAAGGGGTAAAGTAAACTATTCCATTTGTCTCCAGAAATGTGAAGGGTGTATTCATATTTACAGTGTTGGATGAATTTTCATTGTATGTGGAAAAACAGAGTTTGATCAACAACCGAAACCTCACCTTCGAAAACAGCTGTGTTTGTACCCGAAGTATGCAAGAGCACGTCGAAATCATATTTCAAAGGAACTCTGTTTTCTCAAATATTTCTTCAACAAAAAGCGTTTGTGAAACAGTTAAATATTTGTCCTGGTACATCAAACAAACATGTTTGTATTCAGTATAAAGTGAAGGTCCGGATGTGTACAGAAGACGGGTCAGATCTGATGGCTTCGGTCAGACACAGTTTTTATTCCTAGTTCTTTTGAAGTTCACGATCGCTTAGAAAGTTCTGTGGGTAAATTTCTAGACGATAGTACGATGGACCTGAGTTGAGCAATAGGAAAGTCAATAGTAAGGCGCCAACACGGCTGGAATGCACCGTGCTTGACAATGAACTCACGCCACTCTGGTTACAACACACGCTAGTACACAGCGAGAACCGATCTGTCGTCATATCCAAATAATGAAATCACACGAAATTATGACGAGCTCATCTGTGAAAATGAACTCTGAATGACATGCAAA